GGGTTTAGATATAGTCTTCCAATGGATCAGCCAGCAACAGGCCAACTTCGTTCAACAGCTCAAACTGTGGAAAGTAATGTCAGTGGACCACTCTTTCCTAATTGATTTATATTTTTTCATATTGATATCCAGATGTATTCGACAGGTGTGTGAAATTGAGTAAAAATGTGAAATATGGCATAAGACTTAGAATTAGTGCCCTTCTTAAATAAAATCCACCTAAATATTGTTTTCATGAGATTATTTGTTATATATTATAAAATTATAAACATATTTTTTCCTTTATAAGGTTGTTGATGCAGCTAAGTATGGAATGTGCAAAATTCCTGTGATTCATTGTTTATAGTTCATCACGAGAAATGCATATTCCATATTGTTTTGTGAGGTCCTTCCATTCAAAAATCTATATTGGCTCATGCTGATAGCCTTGTGAACGGTAATGCCGCTTTAGAGATTTGCTTATTTATTTAAAAGTCTCCATTATTAACCATGTAAACAATTGTTTTTACCAATTTTAATTTTTATTATTTTTTACATTTGTTTATGTTTCGTGCTGAATTACTTTCAGCCTACCGATGGTATATATCAAAAACTCTGTAAAGGAGATAGTGCTGCAACGTGCTAGTTGCACTTTACTTCTGATTATAGTTAGGCACTGTTGCAATGATTCTCGAAAACAATCAATTCAATTCAAGTAGGACAGGTTGCCATACTTGATAATGCTTATTATTGTCAATCTGTGATAAGCGAGTGTCTTCTCTGGTTTTAGTGTTTTCTCATCTTAATCTTATTCAACGAATCACTCGTCTCTCTCTTTGTAAACATGTATCATATGCTATTAAATACTTTTTTAGCACAACTGATGCTTGCGATAGTTCTTTATACTCAAAATATTAGTGGAGACTTATGATTTAGGAAAGGAATTCTTCATGAGAAATGTTGGGACCTGCGATGTAAAGAGAGTAGGTTGTGGTTGTTTTTTTGTAATATAAACCTTTGCATGCTTATTTTAAGCGGTTGATTTCCCCGAGCATCTATATTGTGGATCAAATCCTAGGCCTAAAGAATATTCTCATGGCATTGTGTACACTTCCTTTTCTATTCATCATTTGCATTCTAATCACTTTTATATTATGAAGTGGGTTTTTTGGTGATATTACAGGATGTTTCATGAGATATGACGAGAAAAGTTCAGTTGTTCGGAGTAGCGGTTAGGGTGAAATTCAATCTTCTACATTAACACATTAGACATAAATAAAAACCCAATTTAAAACAATACATAGTATGTATGCTGTGAAATCATTAAAGTTGTGGTAAATTTATTATATAATTAAGGCCATTTGCATGCCAAAACATAATATTTAAATATTTTGTTTAACTAAGTATTCACTTTAAATGTGTGAAATGGAATATTGATAGTAAAAATGTATCGCATTTGATGTGGCTAATATTAGTCAGCATTTTGGAAAAATACATTTTCATAAACCTTTGTGGTGCTTTTAAAAGTCATGCTTGTGGCATTTTGCTTATAATAGATGGATTGATTATTGCAATGAATGCACTTCTACATTATTCATTAGAGAGATTATATGGAAGATAGACTGAAGTGTTTGTGCCACCAAAATTTTCCTTGAATGGAATGCGGCCATCCCGATAGGATTTGATTTTAATTATGAGGGTGAAAATTTCTAAAGAGGTCAGTAAGCTCCTTAAGGTTAATTTGATCATAATGGGTATGATTTAAAGAACACTCTTTGATTTAAGAGGCAATACTTCGTTCATGACTATGGTAGGGATTATTGTATGTTTGGTTGGTTATGGTCAAAATGTTAAGTGTACCCTATGAAGGCCTTGGAAATCATGGGGTCAAATTAAATTCTGAGAGAAGGTGTGAGTATGTTTTTAGTTATGCAAGAGAGAATAGGTTTTCTAAAGGCATTGAAATAGATGCTGAAAAGAGTAGACTATTAGCTCTACACAATATCAACAGAATGGAGATGCCTTAAAATTGAACTTACACATTTGGTTGCATCCGTTTTATATAAAAGTGTAATAGAGTTGTATGGAAGAAAACTCTGATTTAAGATCCACCCATGAATCCCTGAATTTTGGCTGTTTATGCTTCTCGATTGAGGATCTTTGTAGCAACCTACGTTCTTCATGAGAACCTATACAGAGCTTAATAATGTGTTGTTGTGTACCCTAATCTAAGGAGTGAGTGGTAACTTGATCAATTGATCCATTGATTCCATATGCTTTGGGGTAAAGTCCTAGTTCCTATGGGTTATAGGCAATTTAAGTGATCTTTAATTTAGCCAAGCATGGTATATCATCATAATAGGAAAATGAAGTCAAACCAGGCATGTGTGAAATCATACTTCTTTCTTAAATTATATGAACGATACTTATAAACTCTGATGATCGATCATCAAGTCCCAAACTCTTAAGGCTAATGAGTGAGTCATATCAAAACCCTAGGTTGAATATACACCTCACAGCTACAGAGAATATCCTTACTTCTGAAACTTCAATATTGAGATTCATGTTAATAAATTATTTTTCCATATGAGAAATACGATGTAAACATTAAGATAAGCCATAAATAATAAATAATAATTTATTGTATCGATTAGAATCATAATAAGAGTTTTATGTATAGTAATATTACAACTATAATGGAGACACAACAACTGAAAAGTAAATGAGAGAACACATATAAGCAAATTACTCAAATCCATATAAATAGTGAAATGCAACACTACCTAATATTAAACTCAAAAATATCAAGTAGAAATATATTACTGAAAAATTTGTTTTGTAGTGAGATTTCCATCATAGTATGGCTTTTGTAGAGATTATCCATTCTAAATAATTTGGTGAAGAAACTTATTAATTGTAAAGTTTTTCGCAAAAACGATGATTTATTAAACTCAATGAGAGATCTCCTATTTATTAAAACATAAATGCAGTATATGGGCAATACAAACATGAACAATAAATAAGAGGTATGACTTTACCATAAATAATCATGTATAGGTAAAACAATCAATCATGAAATTAGGAATAATATTTCATAGCCTCAATGTGTGAAGTTATTCCATAGCTTCTGATGACTTAATCTTATAATTTTGATATGAAATCTTTTTTCTATGATTAAATAATAAAATTGTAATTTATTGTCACAATTCATCAAAAATAAAACCATGTAATAAAATCTCTCTCTCTCTTCTCTTATCTTCCTACACACTCACTACACACATATATATTTACACAACCGACTCATTGTCATTTATATATTGACTACTTTTTACAACATTTCTCTCTATCATCTTCCTCTCCTCTCTCTCTCTTCTCCCACAACACACACACATCAACACCACACTACTACATATTATAATATTATATTATATATATATAATATATAATATACTATAATATTATATATATACATATATATATATATATATATATATATATATATAATAATACAACCAACTCTCTTGTCATTTATAATGTGACTTTCATATATATATATATATACATATACATAATAATACATTATTTTTTTTTACCCCCCCAACCATACATATATACATATATATATATAATATATAATATATATATATTATATAATATATAATATATTATATATATAATATAT